GAAAGAACTATAGCTGGGCCAGCATCGTTGTGGAGAGGTTTTGGAAGGAGGGTGCTGGGAAAAAGTCTTGTTTGCTGAATCGCCAGTAGGATTTTGGTGGTGGTGGTGGTTGTGGTGGTTCCATGGCAATGGATTTGGAGTGAGAGGCGAAATGGGTATTGAGAGGAGTGATCAAATCTTGAGAGATTTGAGAATCAGTGTTAGAATCAACCATTGGTACCAAAATGTAGGCTCAAAGGAAAAAAAATTTCAATATCCACCAACTGATTTCAATATAAGAACACATCTAATTAACAAAAACAACTCACCAAAAAATATTTGGAAAAACAAGAACAAAAATTTATATAAATCCACAAATAGAGATTCAATCAATCAAAAAATAAGAACTATGAGACAAATGAAACCATAAAGAAACAAATTTGAAGCTTTAGGGTTTTACCTTCGCATATCGATAAGAAACTCAATTAAGGGGAGGGGTTTAGGTGAAATGAGAATACCAGAACCAGCAAACGATGTTCTGAAGTAGCAAACGATGGTCTGAAGCTTCGATGAAGGTCTGAAGCTTCGATGGTCTGAGTCTGGCAAAGAGAGGCAAAATACCTGAAGCTTTGAGCAAATTTGAAGCTTCGATGGAGTTTTGAGGCAGAGAGAGGCAGGGATCAATGGAGTTTTGTGGTCAATCCATGAAGAGCCAGAGAGAGGCGGAGACTGGTGCAAGGGATTTATCTGGGCTAGCTACACTTATTGAGCGAAAAACAGGTTATGGGAAATAGACAGTCAGATAGGAAAAATTTATCTTCTGCAATCTTTTTAGAAACGTTGCTAAAAACTTTTAAGGTCTAATTTAAAATTTCTAATTATCAATTCCCGCCATTCAACGTGCCAAGAAATGTTAAAAGAATATGACCTTTTGGCGACGTTTTTAAAAAACATCGCAAAAAAATATTTTAAGTCTAATTTAAAATTAATAAATTTACATTCTACGACGAATTGAAAAAAACGTCACCAATTGACATTATTATTTCATTTAACTTTAATAATGAAAATTTATCTTCAAAAACGTCGCAAAAAAATATTTTAAGTTAAATTTACATTTTGCAACGAATTTATAAAAACGTCGCCAATTGAAATTATTATTTCATTTAACATTAATAAAGAAAATTTATCTTCGACGTTTTTAGAAAAGTCGCAAAAAAACTTTTAAGGTCTAATTTAAAATTAATAAATTTACATTCTGCGACAAATGTCTAAAAACGTCGCAAATTGACATTATTATTTCATTTAACTTTAATAATGAAAATTTATCTTCAGTGACGTTTTTCAAAAACGTCGCAAAAAATATTTTAAGTCTAATTTAAAATTAATAAATTTACATTCTACGACGAATTGGAAAAAACGTCGCCAATTAACATTATTATTTCATTTAACTTTAATAATGAAAATTTATCTTCCGCGATGTTTTTTAAAAATGTCGCAAAAAAAAATTTTAAGTTAATAATTTTTTGTCGTAAAAAATCTTAATTTCCTGCCATTTCTTGCGCCCAAAACAATTTGGAGGGAATCACCTTTTCGCGACATTTTTAAAAAATGTCGTAAAAAAATTCCCAAAAAATACTTTTGGTGACAACAATATTAAAACGTCGCGGATAATATACTTTTTTGCGACGAATTAAAATTCTTCACAAAAAAACCATCGCAAAAAATGATTTTTGTTGTAGTGAGGGGTATAGAACTACTATGTCTTACATCTTGTTATGGTAGTGAGTCTATGGTTATGGAAATGAGGAAATAGGTGTAGAATGTGTTTGATTCAATCTCTAGTTTGAATTTGATATGTGGAAGTACTTGTATAATTTATTGGTGATGGAAATTATGTGTGCTTTAATATGTAGTAAAGTGAGTGTGTTTAACTCATAAATCAGTGTGTGTGTGTGTGTGTGTGTGTGTGTGTGTTCAACTTCTAGTTTGAATTTGATATGTGGAAATACTTGTGTAATTTCTTAGTGATGAAAATTATGTGCTTTAATATGTAGTAACGTGAGTGTGTTTAACTCATAAATCAGTGTGTGTGTGTGTTCAACTTCCAGCTTAAATTTGATATGTGGAAGTACTTGTGTAATTTCTTGGTGATAGAAATTATGTGTGCTTTAATATGCAGTAAAGTGAGTGTGTTTAATTCATAAATCAGTGTATGTGTGGGTGTGTTCTTGCTTGTTGGAAACTATAGGTACTTGGAGTGTAGAAAATGGATATGGAAATTGGGTAAAGTAAAGTCTAGTTTGAATTGGCATTTAGAAGTTGCTACTTTATGATTTCTTGGAAGATTATGATAGATGGATATTAAGAAATGGGTAGAATAATTTCCATTTGAAATGGTTGTGTAGAAATCACTAAATATGATTTCTTGAGCTATATGATGAATATGAGTGAATTATGTGATAACATGATTGGTGCCTTGAAGGTGTTTTGCTAAGTGTCTATGTGAGAATTAAGTTTGTTGTGGCAAAATTAATGTATATAACATGCTTGAGAAAATGGTGATCGAAGGAATGAGTTGATATAAGTTGTTAATAAATTAACATCATGATAAATTGTAGTAAGTATATGCAATAGATATAAATTACCATGGCATATGTTGAAGTATGTGGTTTAATTTCTCAATTTGGCATTCATTGCATTTTGAGCATGAAATTGACATCACATTCATGGACATGAGGCATGGGTGTGGGTGTGTGTACATGGTTGATCAAACACCATTCTTGGTGGTTGATAAGTAGACTCGGGAAGGTTGGAACAATGTATAGATTAAAAGGGAATATATATATATATATCACACACTTATGCACTTGAAAGAGATGAAATGGGTGTGAAAAGGGGTATTGAAATGGGTTAGAATAGATTTTCTAACTTGAAATTGAGATATGGAAATTGCTTGGTTGGTAATTCCATGGAAAAGTGATTTTGTGGGCATGCTATAAGTTTAATAAATTATGCCTTGTGATTGAGAGTGATTGACATGAGATTGTGTAATGCCATGCTTGAGATATGTGTTGGGTTTATGCTAGTTGATGTATTGACATGATAATGAATTTTGGTAATTTTATACATGTGATATAAATTGTCATGAAACATGTTGAGATGTGTGGTTTAAATTTGGCTCATTGGCATCCATTACATTGAGCATGACATTGATTGAGCAATGGTGCATCACATTGCATTTGCACGGGGAAAATGCATCAATGGCCATGAGTATGGGTGTGTGAGTGCATGGTTGGATCAATCACCATACTTGGTGTTTGATGGGTGGGCTCGAGAAAGTGGGGTTAAATATCCTACTGAGTCGCACGGTTGCATACATGGAAAACTTGTGTTGGGTATAGCAAGAAGGGCTAGACTCTCCCTCGGGTACAAGAGCCGACTATTTGGTTCATACACTCCCTTGAGGTGAAATTCTGAAAAGGTGTATTGGTTTGCGGAACCTACGGTGCAATTTCAAAACTCCGCTACCCAACAAAGACATATGATTTTGTTTATAAAAAAATACCTGGTTCGTACACTCTCCTAAGGTGAAATTCCAGAAAAAGTGTACTTGTTTTATAAAGTATTCATTCGATGGGAAACATCCAACAATGAATTGGTTTTATAAACACAATGACTTGTATTTCAAAAATGATCAATGGATGTATTTCATCAATGATAAATGTTTTATGCATTGCATTGCATTGTGTTGTGGGAGTCGGTGAGGACTCGGGTTAAAGTGCATGAGTGAGTATCATCTCATATCATGACATGACATGGTAGAATTTTCACATTGAACTACATGTTCTTGTTGGAATAGATATTGGTTGTGGATTGTTGCATGTGCACATTTCATATGCACTTAGGTGGGGAGTAGCCTCTATAGGAATTACTCTACTAGGCGTGACTAATCCTATACGGGAAAACATTTCAGGTGCGGGATATACATCGGTGGACAGCTCTTATTCGGGGCCGCAAGGGTGAAGAAAGCCGACTTGTGGCTTTTAAAACTCCTTTTGTAAAACTTTTGGAACAAACTAGTTTTGACATGTAATTTTATGTAAGAGAGTTGTAATTGAACTCATATGGACTGTTTTTAATATAACTTTGCATGTTTTTTTATATGAATATGGATGAATGGACCCGGTATGGTCAATTTTTACTCATGAATGGACCCGGTACGGTCATTGCGTTATATCGGACCTCGGATAGGTCGTTTTAATGTATAGTGTACAAGTTGGGTTTTGGGTAGAGCTCCCCGTACAAAGGAGACTCTGCCCAATTTTTGTTAAATTAAGGACTTCTGATTTTTGGGGTGTCACAGGAATAGATATCATTTCCAATACCACCCAAATCTAATCCTTGAAACTAACATGTCCTACGTGTTAGTATTACAATCCAAAAATAAGTACTACACAGAAAAAACAAAACACATAAAGTTTTATTGGGGCCCTTGTATTATTTTCCTTAATTCCACCCATTTTTACCACTATTATCCCCAAAACAAACTAGCCCCTAGTATATCTAAAATATAAAACATGGTGGCTTCAACAAAAAAATCCAATGGTCTCAAATCAATTCAATGGTCTCTAATCCAAAGGCTCACAATACATCTCACTTAAAAACCAAATCCCACCCATTGCAACACACAACCCAAGACAAAGACAGGCATGCTTTGTTTGTCAACGACAACCACAACGTCTCTCTCTTTCTCTCACGACTCTCTCTCTCTCTCTCTCACACACACACAAGAAGCAGATCAAGCCTCTCCCATGTCTCCCTTTCTCTGCCATCACCCAGGTAACCCTCCTATCTCTCTCTCTCTCTCGCTTGCTCATTACAGCTTCCATCCAAAAGCACCAAACCATTACTAAAAATTACACCTTTTTAAGTATTTGATTTTGGTTTCAAGTTGCACACGCCAAGTTCGATTTTGTTGTTCATACAACCAAGAACAAGAAGAGAGAGAGAGGAGACAAAGAATGGTGAAAGCCAGGAAGGTTGGGGTGGCAATGGATTTCTCAAAGAGCAGCAAGATGGCTATGCAATGGGCTATTGACAACTTGGGTGAAAAAGATGATACCTTCTACGTCATCCACATCAAGTCTCATGCATCCGATGAGGCTCGCAATCAAATCTGGTCTAAATCTGGTTCACGTAAGTCCTTGATTCATTATCATCATCATTTTTATAGATCATTTCATACCCATTAAGGTCATTGAACCCGAAAAAAAATCTCGAAGGCTCATTAAGGTCATATTTCCAATTATTATTTTTATATCTTTTTGATTAATCATGGGTGAACTTTTATTTGTGTCAAATGGGGCTTATGGACTGAATTGTTTCTAAGACCATCGACAAACAACCAGCTCCATCACATTTTCGATGAAATTCCTGAAAGAGCTATGGAGCCTTTAGATCAAGCAATTGATTCCAATTGCAATTACGTTCAACTGAATGTAGTTTATTAGCATAAAATTTTTGTTGAACCACTTCATTTTTTTATTTTTTTTCTCAGTTTGTTCATTTTACCATCTATTTTCCTTTATTAATTTTTTTGTAGCTAATTTTTTTTTTTTGCATTGATTTGTTCAGTTGCAGCCGAGCATGAAAGAGGATGTGACAAACTTAACTGCCCAACTGATTGGAGGCCAATCACAAGGTGGACATTCTTTGATTGCTTGGGTGGAGCTATGTTTTGCTTCAATTGAATTCTTGGGGTTTGGTCAATGATTTGTTGTTTCTTCTATTATTTTGGGAGTTCTAGGGGTAATTTTCTTTGTTATTTTGGTTGTTTGTTTTTTTCGTTGTAACATGGTTGCTATTTTGTTAAATTCTCAATTTTTTGTTGGAGTTTTCTATTGAGTTTTTTAGCACTTTTGTGTTGTCATTTGATTGAGTTGTTAACGGATAGATGTTGATGTATACAATATTAATTTGATTGTATATGTTTTGTTATTCATGATCGCTCCATTTTTTGAGAATTATTTTTCTTTGTTTTTACATCCTTTGTTTTTGCACACTCACCCTATCTTTAGCCTTCATTTTTTCCTTAGCATTTTTTTTTCTAACTTGCTACATCTCTTTCTTTTAAATTTGTGCCATAAATCCACATGCACACATATACACACACTGAAATTATTGTCAAACATTTGTCGAAGAGTCACTTAAGTATGCCTATTTGTAATCATGAGAACACTAATGATATCTATATTTGGAAATGAAGGTGTGCGATAAATTGATGTTTTCAGTTGTTAGTTTAGGTTGTCTCAAAAATTTGCAGGAACCTTAATCATCTAAATGTTTTTATTGAAGCCACCTGTGTTTTATAGTTGGGTATTTCTTTCTTTTTTTGTTGATTAACATCTGCTTTAATGGGTATTTTAATTCAGAAATATATTTCTTGATGATGCTTGAGAAGATTGAGCAAAAACAACGAAAGTAAGATTAGGAGTCACATGCTCTAAGCAATTCAGGCCTCCCTTTCACGGCTCTCTCTCTCACGCCTCTCTCTCCCAATATCTCATGCCCCTATTCTGCCTTCCAAACTCATCCCCAAAATTTCTCATATCCATCTCAAATCTTCTCCCAATCTCAAATCTCACTCATTCACTCACACACTCTTCTGCTAATTTTTGTGTCGCTGGTTATCCTGCATCAGCAAAGTCACAGCCCAGCCAACAGTCGCATTAGGACGGCTACAATAGAGAGAGAGACACACACGAAAGGCATAGAGAGAGAAGGAGAGGAGAAAGAAAGACAAAGAAGATCCTTTGTTCCAGGTACATATTTTTCTCTCACTCACTCGTTCACTCTCACATTCTCTCTCGTTGTTTTTTCTCTTTCGCTATCAATAGTCGCCGCCCATCCACCGTCAGCAGTGTCAGAGCCATTTGTCTGTCGCCACTACCCACCCTATTCCCAGCCACAATCCCCTACCTACGCAACTAGCTCCACCACATCACGCTACCTCATCCCACTCCACCCCACCTCACGCTATATGTTTGTATTTGTGTCTAAGAGAGATTTTAATTTGGTGATTGCTTGAAGAACATTGTGTTTGTTACACAGGGGATGAATTTTATGACATCAACGGATGTTGCAAAAATGGCAATCATGCGAATCGTGTACAGTGTTGCAACGATGGCTTTATGAAGGTCCAAGGTTTGATTCTTACATTACTCCTATTTTAATTTAGGTCTTACTATTTTGAATAATTTCTTGCCATGGTTTATAGCTTTCAAATTTGGGACAAAGGATTTTGAATAATTTCTCTCCATTTTAAAACCAATTTTTTTATCAAGAGGCTTATTTTTTCCTTACAATCTATTTGGTGTAAAATTTTGACCTACATAGTTTGGTTTAAGTGTTTATTGATTGATTGAGATTGAAATTATAGATATGATATGCTCTTGAACTTAAAACTATACACTATGCATGTTTGATTTTCTAATTTCATTGACAAAACGAAAGAAAATGAAGAAGCGAGTATTCTTAAGATTAGTTGTTTGGAATGGAGCTTATATGTGTGTTTGTTTGTCCTTGGGCATGTCGAATGGAGTTGTTACTGATACAAAATTGGTTGGTACCTATTCAATATGTTTGGCCTGTAAGTTGCTTTTGAATTACTTTTATATACTTTTTTTTTAATTTGTTCTTTCTTGGTCCTCCATGTTCATTACTCAATAATACAGTTGTCTTAGATGGCCCATAACAACTCTCTCTTATTTATTCAATAGTGGGAGTAGGTGATTGCAAATGTATAGGTACGTATTCAACTTTATCTTTGCAAAAAAAGGATTGTAAGGGACGATCTAATTGGTTCTTATCAGCCTCACAACATCTCAAGGTGAAATGGTGACATCATTGGCTAGAGTGACTCTTTGCCTGATTGTCCTATTTGATTACATACCCAAAACCCATGAACAGATGAACATATACATGTTTGAGTGTTTGAATGTTGTTTTTGTTCATAAATGTTGCTGCTATAGGCTATAAATGGGTTGGAATTCTTTTGACACATGTACATATACATGTGTTGTTGCAATGCAGGGATGCACAACCTCATTACTCTGTTCCATATGCAAAGATGCACATGTTTGTTGTTTATATAATAGTTTTCAGGCTCTGTGTGTGCTGGTATGAGTATCGATTGCCGATGGACTTCCCAGCACATAGTTGCTACCGACACTCATTAGGAATGTGCTACATTTGGATTGCTCAATAATGTTGATGAAAAATCTGGGTTTTTCCATTACTTGAAGTGCTGCATTGTAACTTTACCATTACTTCACCAACTAACCATTCCAATCAATTTCTAGAAATACAACTACCTCAGCATCAACTAGAACAACAAACCTAATTGAGATCGAGTATAATTTGTAATATAATTGGTCATTTGGTTTTTAAAGTGTCATTGAATGTGCTAATAGTTTTTTATTGGTTTATTCGATTGTATGTATACGCACGAATAACCTCTGTTTTTAGTCTCTGGGTTTTTTATTTGTGATTGCCTTTGTGTTTGAAAATTCGTGTTTTGGTTAGGAATTAGTGAATGAGGTTAGATATAGGTGGAGATATTGAGGCCTATGTGTATCTTGTTGACATTTTTGGTGCTGCTTATTTTTATCTATAATCATGATATTTTTATTTTAGATGAAATTCTGTGAAGCTGTAATAATTGATTAGTACTTAAATTTAGCATATTACTATGCCTTTTTAGGACTAATTATAATTTGATGGAGTTTAAGCGATGACATTTCAGGTCCTAAAGTGAACAAAGGCTCAAGAACAACAAATATCACACTTGAGTGTAACACTAGTGCATAAGGGAACAAAATTGGAGAAGGTTGGAACAAAGCAAGAACGTTCGAACGCCAACTCACGTTCAAACGTCCACTTGAACTATGAGGAGACCAGACTGCTGAGACATGGCGTGTTGCAGACAAGAAAGAAGACTTTGAGGTACTTGAGTACCACGTTCGAACGTCCACTTGATTTGATTGAAGACCATAGTGATGAGTGCAAAACGCCAAGTTCTGCATGAAGTGTGGAAGTGTGGAAGTGGGTTTCCATAGAAGACCACAGACCACCTGAGTGATATGGTCAAACCCCATCTGGCGTTCAAACGACCCTAAAGCAAAGACAGAAGACACATTCGAATGTTAGACCACGTTCGAACGTCCATAAAGCCAAAACAGAAATAACGTTCGAACGTCAACTCACGTTCGAACGTCCTCCACAGACTGCCTGCAAAGTAGTTGATTTTCACTTAGAGTGGCATACACTTTTCATCCTCTCTTATCTTCCCCCTTCCCCTTCCTTTGCCTATAAATACTCCCATTAGGGGAGCTTCAAAGGTGTGCAAAAATTTTCTCTTGAAAAGTCAAGTCTAGAGCTTGGTTAGTAGGCCTAGACTACACCAAGAACTAGTAAGGAGTTTGTATGGAGGCTTAGACTCCCACTCATTTTGATTAATCTCAGATGTATGCTATATTTACTTGTATCAAGAGAGTTAGTTCATTTCTTGGTTGATGAAGTAACCCTCCATCTTTTGGTTGAGGAAGCAACCCTCCATTTGTTGGTTCAGGAAGCCACCCTCCAAGTAGTGACTAGCTTTCTCCTACTTTCATTGTTTATGTCTTTCACTTCCATTGCTTGAGCTTCCTTCCTCCTTAGAGGAGTAAAACTCTTCCACTTTTTTACAGCTTTACCAAAACCATGAAGGGTGGAACGTGATTCACTTATTCTTTGGTGAAGATCGGCTCTTCGCTTATTGTACTTTACCTTGTAAGTTCTCTACTTAGAGGAATGAGTATCATTCATTTTTCTAGCTTTACCCAAGCCATAAAGAGTGATTAGTTTCTCATTCACTCTTTAGCAAGAGGTAATGAACATGTATGGATTATCCGGAAGTTATATTTGTGCATTTTCTTTATGCTTTAATGCTTTAATGTTTTACATTTCACTTATTGAAGGATTGAATGCATCTAGCAAAGCTAAGGTACTTTGTATAACTATGAGTTCTTTCTATGTCACAAATGACTCTTGCATGGAAAAATTTGTTGGTTCAAGGCAAGTACCTCGGTTAGATCATCATGACACATTTCAATTTTCACTATTATCGTGTTTTATCTAAAGAATAGAGCATTAATGTC